TTATTTCAAAAAATTTTTGAAAAAATTTTTTTTTTAGAAAAAATTTTTTTTTGAAAAAAATTTTTTCAAAAATTTTTTGAAATAATTTTTTTTTTTCAAAAAAAAATTTTTTTTCTAAAACATTTTTTCCTAAAAAAAAAAAAAAAATTAAAAAAAAAAAAAAAAATAAAAAAAAAAAAAAAAAATAAAAAAAAAAAAAAAATAAAAAAAAAAAAAAAATAAAAAAAAAAAAAAAATTTAAAAAAAAAAAAAAAAAATTAAAAAAAAAAAAAAATTAAAAAAAAAAAAAAAAAAAATAAAAAATTTCTTTACCAATAACGGCGTTGGGGATGGTAATCTTCAACCAAATTCTGTCTCGGATCTCCAGCCCAGAATCAGGCAACTGCATCACCTTCACGATGGTCGCCATGTCGGTTTTGCTCACAGACAAGGGCAAGTCTCAAAACCCTAAACGAATGCAAAAAAAAAAAAAAAAAATAAAAAATTTCTTTACCAATAACGGCGTTGGGGATGGTAATCTTCAACCAAATTCTGTCTCGGATCTCCAGCCCAGAATCAGGCAACTGCATCACCTTCACGATGGTCGCCATGTCGGTTTTGCTCACAGACAAGGGCAAGTCTCAAAACCCTAAACGAATGCAAAAAAAAAAAAAAAATTCTAAAAAAAAAAAAAAAAATTCTAAAAAAAAAAAAAAATTTAAAAAAAAAAAAAATTTCTTTACCAATAACGGCGTTGGGGATGGTAATCTTCAACCAAATTCTGTCTCGGATCTCCAGCCCAGAATCAGGCAACTGCATCACCTTCACGATGGTCGCCATGTCGGTTTTGCTCACAGACAAGGGCAAGTCTCAAAACCCTAAACGAATGCAAAAAAAAAAAAAAAATTTCTTTACCAATGACGGCGTTGGAGTTGGTGATCTTCAACCACATTCTGTCTCGGATCTCCAGCCCAGAATCAGGCAACTGCATCACCTTCACGATGGTCGCCATGTCGGTTTTGCTCACAGACAAGGGCAAGTCTCAAAACCCTAAACGAATGCAAAAAAAAAAAAAAAAAATAAAAAAAAAAAAAAAAATTTCTTTACCAATGACGGCGTTGGAGATGGTGATCTTCAACCACATTCTGTCTCGGATCTCCAGCCCAGAATCAGGCAACTGCATCACCTTCACGATGGTCGCCATGTCTGTTTTGCTCACAGACAGGGGCAAGTCATCAAACTCTGAGAGAAAAAAAATCAAACAGAACATGGAGTAGAATTTCATAGTGCTAATTTTCTGCTTTATTTGTGGTAAAGTCAGAAGACGGCTGTGAATACCATAGTGTGGGTAGGGTCCCGTGAGGGCAGTGGTGTGTGAGATCCAGGCGGCGGGGTCAATGGGTCTGACCGGTTCAGCTGCACAATAAAACAGTTCAACCATGTGACAGTTCAACCCTCGAGGCGTGGCATCAGTTACACAGCTCTCCATGTAATAAAACTAATGTGAACTACAGTTCATATCTGTCCACGTGACGGTGGAACCTCACCAGTGTTTGTCTTACCACGAGGGATGGTGAAGTAGCTCCGTGGAGACGGGTCCCAACATTTGGCAACAGTTAGACTAATGGGACTGAAGAAAGAAAAGATAATCAGAATAATTGTAAATATTCCTGATCGTAACTATTCCCAATTAATCGTGATTAGTTGATATTATTCAGAGATGACAAAAATATTTTGATGTATATTTAAGTCTATTAGAGCAGGTAGATGTTTGTGTTTTTATTTGTGACTAATCCAAATGATGGAATTATTTATAAGGAAAAATGTCAAAAAAATATTCAAAAGTAAAACTCAAAAATTTAGTGTTACAGTTGGAGGATTTAAGTCTTCACCATCTTGATGGTGGCTGGTAGAACTGTCGCGATTCTCTTGACTAATGATCAACTGTAGAGATGTACAGTATCAGGGTGAGCCAAAAAGTTCTGAGACATATTCAAAGAAAAAATTGTAACTTATTAATTTCTCTCAAAGGCTAATTCTCCACACATCTTAACTCTTCTTCAGTGGTGTCTCCATCAGAGAATTTGTGGAATTCTGGAGGATGTCGTTGACACCAAGTCATTCATTGTCTTGAAACAAAATCTAGTTTCGTTCAAATGTTTAAGTTTTGGAAAAAGAAAAAAAAAACCCCAACAGAGCCAGATCAAAACCCGTTTCAACACCTCAATCATTTTCTTATTTAAGTTTGGTTAAAAATTTTAAGGTTGCTCTGAATTGCAGCCGTTGGAGACGACACCAGTCTGAACTGGTTTTTATAATTAAAATCAGACAATAGAATCTTTTCTGACTCATCACTGTATTTTTCAAAGCTGTGTTGACACAAAGGGCTGGGTGTTTAATTAATTTTTAAAAGAATCCTCATTACACAGACAACACACTTCAGTCTTCACCTGATTGATAGCTGAGAGTGAAGCGTGAAGTTCTTACCCAGTTTTGGAAACGATCTCTCTGAGAATCCTCACGGCATCGTCGTTGCTCATGTTCTCAAAGTTTACGTCGTTCACCTGTTGGAGAGAGAACGCAATTCGTAGCCGACCTAAAATTAAATTCCACACCTTACTTCAACTCACATATAAACATATTAATATCTATGACAGTTATTCAAGTGATGAAATTCATCGTTTAATTTTGCATTTGATTATTCCAGAATAAATGAAAAAAAAAGTTTTCCAGCTCCCGTTGCATTAACTTCAAGGAAATAGATTTAATAAGAATAAAATGTGTTATTGTTGTTATTCATATATGAGTGTGTTCCACATGTTGGAGCACCTGCAGCAGCATGTCTCCAGGTTCTATCCTGCCGTCTGCAGCCACTGCTCCTCCCTTCATGATGGAGCCGATGTAGATGCCGCCGTCTCCCCGGTCGTTGCTCTGACCAACAATACTGATTCCCAAAAAGTTGTACTTCTCTGTCAGGGAGAACAAACATCAACGTGACAAACATCACAACAGTCTCATGTACAGCAGGCTGGAAAACAGTCTTCAACTTACCCATGTTGAGTGTGACGGTGATGATGTTGAGGCTCATGGTGGAGTCGGTGATGCTGCTGAAGGACGACGACTGGAAAAGCAGGAGAGTGAAATATATTATACACACACACACACACACACGGTCAATTTGCCATTAAGCCGAGGCAGCGGCGTATCTGTGTCGGTCTTACGCGATCTATCTTGGCCACTTTGTGCCGGCGTCGTCTGCGCTTGTGTCGCCGCATCAGGTGAGAAGAGGAGCTTTGTTCTGTGGAGCTGCTGAGCCTGAAACGTTACCAGAAGGACAGAGTAATGACAGAGTGGAGACAGAGACGGAGAGGAGACGGAGACCGCGACGTGGTGATGAATAATGATTTTGGTTTTTTCCATTAAATATTATAAATGTCGCCCTGTTTTACAAACAAATGATTTCAAATGAAGATCATTGTTTTTTGTTTTTTTATTGTTTTCTTTTGATCACTGCTATATTTGAGCTATGACTCCTGGTGGCGCTATAGACTACATACCCACAGGCTTAGAATGGACTTTTGGAAGAAGGAAATGTGTGATTTTCAATTTTGTTTTTAAAGTCCTGTTTTTAATTGGATTGGCTGATCATCCTCATGGCGGGACACTGCATTTTTACCGTAAAAACTGAAATAACTGCCGTGTCACCTGCTCGCATCTTCATCTTCTTCACTGTCCACAAAAGAGCTGGACTCCAGTTCGCTGCTCATCACCGAGGCGCTGTCGTAACCCATGGCCGAATCCCTCGCAGTTCGCTCTGATTTAGAGTGACCGTTGATGCGGGGGACTGAGGAGAGACAAGACAACGGGTGAGACAGGAGGTCACGGGATCAGGCCTAAATAAGAAGAGGAGACGCTGCCTCTGATGAAAACAGATGTTAATCTGTAAATCCCAGCAGTGTAAAAAGAAAAAAAAAACACAGTCCATCTCTATACTGTACATACACTGCCACTGAGGCGGCGACGTCTCAGGGTAGCAGCGGATTGGCTGGAAAGACCTCATAAGGCGGAGAGGGCGAGGCGGCCAGCGCTGCCGCCGCGAGCCAGCGAAACATTCCAGCAATGTGGTTGTTCCCATGTCTAACTCCACCCTGAAGGTGATTCAGTGAAAGCTGAGCTGCTGCATGTAATCAGTCAATCAGCAGAGAAACATGACTTCACTCAAACACGTTTCCTCTCAGGCTGCAGTGACAACAGAGGCCACGGCAAAACAACGGCAAACTGGACACAAACAGTTCATCCAGTCAAAGTGAGAACCGTGTCTCTGCGCGTTTCTCCGTCTGTGCCGACCGCACCGTGTGGTGANNNCGACTGGTTCCTGCTGGAAGGCTTCACAGATTATCTACAACAGAGGCAGTAAAGACATGAGGGCACCCAATCAATCTGTGGACAAACATGACCTTTACCATAAAAAAAATCATTCAGATAAACATCAAAACCACAATTTAAAGAAAAATGTTTCAATCTGGTGACTTAAAAAAAAACCCTGCAATAACTAAAAAAGCTAAGAACAAGCAACAATATTCGAAGTCTTATCAAATAATCTAAGAAGATCTGCATTTAACAAAAAAAATAAAAAGCTCTCACCATAAGACACCAGCGCGTCCTCGTCCGTAGCACAGAGATACTGCGCTCAGATTGAGGAGAAACTACAGCCTCAACCCTCCCTCTCATGGAACGCAGCTATAGAATGACATGTAATTTGTGTCTGACCAATCAGTTGATGGCATTCTTCATAACTGAGGGAGATTTTAGGGGATTTTAGAAGACGTGATGTCGTCTGTCATCTCCGCCTCAGGTGAAAACACCAGCGTTTTGTGAAAAGCAGACGATCTCACAGTAGAACAGAAAAACATTTGAGCTCTGGTGATTTAAACGGTACACTAACACTAGCACAGAGCTTCAGCTTAAAGATTTTGATGTCAGAGTTAAAGTCCCAGCAGAACTTTGCAGCATTGTGTATATTCTCAGTGGTTGAAAATACCAGTCAAAATGACAGAAAATTTGCAACAGATTTTAACCAAACGTCCGAACTGGACTTCAGTCCTTAGCTCAGTGGTTCACAGCCTTTTTTTTGGCCTGTGAACCCATTTTGACATCATACATTTTTGGAGACCCCAGAGACATGACTGCAGCCCTCAGTCAATCTGCACCAGCTCACATATTTTTTATGTTGAATTTTTTGGTCTGTTTTTCATATTTAATCATCATAATTTTTCATCATCAATTATTTCACTCAATTATTACTAGATATTTCAGGTGATCTGTATGAATTTCATGTGACCACATGTGGGTTGGCGACCCCAAGGTTGGAAAACACTGCCTTGGATGGTGCAAAAAAGCGGGTTGAGATCTGGTGTCAGAAATCCTTCAGAATTCTACAATTTTACGAAGGAACCACAGCTGCAGAAATGTTCCGACTTAAACGGAGGAGAGGTTTTTCTTTCAGATTTCTCAGACTCTTTGACCCTGGTTCATTCACTACAGCTTCATCAAGTGAAAATATATGTCCTGTCTTAAAACACGTACAACATCCTGTGACCTGCAAACCTCCGGTGTCTTATGACACAGGTGTAGGACCCTCCCACCCCGGGGTCCAACACCTGTTCAACCTCCTTAAATCTTCCAACTGCTCCATTATTCATCCATTCTACAGTCAATCGCCGCGGCGCTGAGAGAAATTGAAATAGTTTACGAGCACTTAGACAGATCAGTGTGAAGCAGATAGTTTCCACACCCAGACAGAATCACTCCGAGCGTGCGTATAAGGTGACAGGGGGAAATTCCTGCCGCGGCCGCTGCTGATGCTGCAGGGAGTGAAGAGAGGAGGCAGAGCTGCGAGATCCAACTTCACATGTGGCAGAAACTGCTGGCTGAAACTGATAGGTGAAACTGATTTTTTTTTTTTAAACCCAACTTGTACTTCTGACATGTGGCCCACACCAGCAGAAGACCAAACACATGAGAGTGAACAGGGCATCAGGAGCCTCCTGATTTATCCACAATTTCTCTGTTATCTGTGTCGTTAGCGGGGTCTGTTTTGTGTTCTGCTCTGCAAACACAGATGAGGTTGACAGACAGACACGGAGTTCATTAGATTCAAGGCCATCGCCCACACAGCAGCAACAACAACAGCAGCAGCAGATGTGCAGCTGGGGTTCTCATGAGGTGACCATCAACATGACCTGAGCTGAGGCAGAAGACGAAGAAAGTATGATGACGAACATCAGTGTTAAAACACAAAGCGTTGTTCTCGCAGAACGTTTGTTCTCTGCAGTTGACCTTCCTGTCGTGTTCAGGTCAAATCTGAGCGATTCACAACTTAAAACAATCACAAATATTGTTTTTTACCATGTTACACCTGTGGTGATCTAGAGTGACCACCATAGGAAATAAATGGGTATCCAGGTTAAACTCATCCATCAGATGAGGAAACATCCCCACATACACACACACACACACACACACCACTCCAACACAGACACACATTTCAGACTGAACAATGTCTTTTGCAGGTGCACATCTCGGGTTTTTTCCCCCCGCACTTACGTGCCAATCCTCCCACGTGAACCAACCTCCTGATGAAACTGTATCATATCTACACACAGACGGAAACAGGTATCTTGCTTTTGTGCCCACCCACCAACCCCCCGACCCCACGTGAACTACACCTTCCAGACTGAGACCCCCAACATATACAGTAGCTTGATATTTGCCTTGCACTCCTTCTATTCTGAGTACAATTTTATTTTTTAAGACTTTTTCAGGAAAGTTACTGTGATGTAAAGCTGGTGTACGAAAAAAGTATATTTTTTCTGAATTTTAACCAAACAGAAAATAAAGAGTAGACTGCTCACTATAGACCCCAAATATGTGGCCTACAAGAGACTGTATTAATTTTACCATTACAAGTTTAACCAAGTTTGTGTACTATATGTGTAACAAGTAATTCACCACTCTAAGTTCCCTAATACCAGTTTCAACCAAACCCACATGTACAAAAGTTAACCATAAACTACATTTCCCAAAATGCATGTTGCTCTCATGACAACACCAGACTTTGACACGTGTCAGTGTAAAATGGTTAACAACTTGAGTCAGATGAGCGGAAAAGCAAATAACATCAGCCTCTATAAAACGCTGACATCACTTTTTTGCCTTTCAATGATTCGTATGTATTCGACACTCACGCTCAGTTTCCCGCGCTCTCCTTCGTGCACGCTCACGCTCTCTCTCGCGACGGTGGCTGAGGAGAGACTCTGTCCCCGTCTCTGTGTCCAGGCCGTCTCGACTGCTCACTGCATTGGCACTGCGAATGAAAATTAAAAAAAAAGATTTAAAAATAAAAAACAGGATTTGGAAAACAGCTGTCATTTTTATAATGATAAAAAAAACACAGGGTTTCTGTCTCCGTCACAGAACACAGTGTGGATTGAGTTATGCTGCCGTGCATGACCATCAGTCACAACATACTTCTGTCAGTTAGAATATGCCACTCGTCCTTAGGGGAATATCAAACACATATTATGGCTGCTTTATATTCAATCCCTCGAGCCAAAACAGCAGTTTCATTGTTCCGTGGTATGTCATGTGTTTTTCACCGAGTGTCATTAATGACCAGATACCCTGAGAGACGGCCACATCGGACAAAGCTTGCATTAATGAGACCTATTGAAAGCACAGATGGTGCCTGGAACGTGATTGGGGCAGAGGCAGACGGGAGAATGACAGCCCTCAAAAAGAAAAAAAGAGACGTCCTAGATCAGGTGTGGTGTATGTACTTGTGGTGAGGGGGGAGTCTGGGGGGCCCTGTGAGGGGCTGCGGGGCAGATTATTCTGACAGGGGGCTGGAGACGCTGTGCCCTCAGGCACCGGGGTTAAAGAGACCTCCGTAGCTTCCAGGCACCTGGGAAACATGAAGCTGCTGAGAACTCCACTCCACGCTGTCAGCCTGTCACACACACTTAGGCATGTGTGCAACATGTACTTCACAGCTGCATTAATAAGTCCGCTAGCATTCATGGCCACCTGGGCCCACATGGTGCTGATTATGAGCAGCATCGTGATCATTTTGTTAAAAAGAAAAGGGAAAGTGGGAAAAAAAAAACAAAAAAAAAACACAAACATGACGACGTATTGTTACTGAACACATCACTGATACTATTATGGATGAAGGATATGGACTTTCCTTTTTAAATCAATACTGATAACCAATAAATATCGGGTCTTGATATTCGATACCAATACAATACAATGCCCATTTCTCCAGGGGTACACGCTCCACACTTTGAGACTCCCTGGTTTAGGACCCTCTCTCTTCTTGTACTTTTCAAAAGCTACTTTTCTCTTTCTGTTTTTAGCCACATTGCTAACTCTGCCACTTCACACTCACTCGGTGCAGCTTCTTTGCGATGACAAACTGTAATATTTGTCGCTCTGAGGTTAGAAGATGTTTTGCCTTCTCTTGAAAGACGTCTCTTGTTGACATCATGTTGCAACTTTTATGCTACTGACTCACATTAGAAGTGTGACGAGACAGGAGGCTGTCTGCTCGGTGCACGGATGAAAGCTACGAGCAGACACCCCGCTGCATCCGCCGGTCCATCTATTGGCTCCAATCAAACTGTCAGCCGATAGAATTGACCACACGTATTGACAGATATCGGACACTGATCAAAGTAAGTCACAAACAGTCCTGATTAAAAACACTTCAGCGGAGGCGCTGTCGTGTCGGCTTTGTTCCCTCAGTGCTCATTAAGACTCGCTCACATGCTTCAACAACATGAACATACTGAGTACACCTGGAGCCGGCTTTCTCACGACATCTACTCTAATGATGTGGAGCTGCAGAGTTCAGGTGCTTTTGTGCTGCCGTTGACATGGCGGCGGCGGCAGTGGCTTGACGACGTACGCAAAGGTGACAATGTGTGACAATGAGGCCGTCGCTGGTCAATGACCAGCCGGGCTGCTAATCCAGTGGAGAGATTATCCACGGCACTGGGCGGCAGCTGTGAACAAATACCACCCCCCCCACCCCCGCCCTTTTCTTTCATTCCCTATATTAACCGCCTCACTCCCCAACGCTGCCCCCTCTAGGGAAATGGAGATGGGTGTTTTTTATGTACGTTAATCCGGATTACCAGGCAGAAGCACATCAGTTGGGTCCATTCTCGGCCCCAAACACCTTCTCTGTGTGCTCGTCGAATAGAGCCACTCACGCCGACAAGCACAAGACATACATGACTAAAGCACAGGAGACAATGAGGAGGTATAAACATATTCAAAGTATCTTGAAAATAACAATAAAAAACATGAGCGACTGGATTCATTTCTGAGAAAAAAACAGAGGCTGTTTGCTGAAGGAAATCCACTCTGTTTCTGAGAAAAGAGAAAAACCTCAACAGAGAGGGAGAGAGTCAGGGAGGGGGCTGGAAATGAGGAATGGTAGAATTTCGTTTCACGCCACAAGGTGGCAGCATTCCCAGGAAAAGCTGGCTGTGAACAAAATAAAATCATCAGGGCAGCTGACAGCCAGGCAGCAGGGTGCAGCCCATAGAGGGCAAAAGTGAGCTGGGATGTCAAACCCTGGATAAAGAGACACCCGGGGACATGACAGAGAGCTTGTTCTCAATATAGAGCCTCAGCCATATTCCTCTGGTGATGCAATGGCAACAACCCTTGCACCCCCTCTCCCCCCACCGTCCCCCCTCCAGCACTCACAGTTATATTTAGAAGGTGACTTCTCCTCAGCTGGTAGAGTGATATTCTCCTAAAGTGACAGAGTTAAAGAGAAGAAAGTCCTGGCTCAGGTGACTGTAATTAGGCCGTCATGAAAATCCTCCGTCCTGAGCTTCCGGGCACTATTGTCTGTTCCGACCACTTAAGTCTTCATTAACCCGGTATGGATGAACGCTCTGAGTGACTGAGTACAATGAACCTCCATGATTGTGGAGATTCGCCTGAAGATGTTTATGCTGCGACGGCTATTTAAAGATATCTTCAGAACTGGCAGCGAACGAACCATGTTAACATAGATGAGTGGACCCATGCCAAGCTCCAGCGCCACTTTTTCATGGTGGGAGTGGGTGTGAAGAGAAGAAGAGGGGACGTATAGATGGTTGAGGGGAAACACTTTATACACCTTCATGCTATTCAGAGGGTTTCTGCTCTGTACAATAAAAAAATATATATGTATATATAAATATTTGCCACCATTTTACTTGAATTGAGGCCGAGTCATCTGTAGGAAGCATAACAGTGTGACGTAACCTGTGTCGCTGTGTCTGTGTGTGTATTGGAGCAAACATAAATACCTCATGAAATGAAAGAGGTAACAGAAATAGATGGGAGGAAAAAAAAGCAGAGGTGAGGGACCAGCAGGGGGCGGGGGAGGGGTGACATTGACCTGCTGCTGCTGCTTGAAAAAAAAAAATAAAATCCTAACACTACTATTCACACTCCAGTCCATCCACCTACACCTCACCAGATGACGACGATGATGATGATGAGCTATGATCAACGAACCTCGAGGTATGGAGGGTGAACCCAGTGAGCAGATTGTGTGCTCGGTGCCTGGTTACACCAACGTACATGTGTGAAAACGTGCAAATATGACAAGTGTTAATTAGCCTACTCACTGAAAAGAGGGGGGGCGGGAATCTCCGATGCCTCCTGTTCTCTCCAGAGGAGGGGGCAGTTCTGGATGGCTCTCCGTGCACTGAGACCCTCCATCAGAATGGGCACTCTCTGCCAAGACCAACTGAGAGAGAGAGAGGGAGGGAGGAAGAGAGAGAGGAGTCAGAGAGGCGAGAGGATTGATTATAGACCAGACATAATCAGATGTGAGAGTAAACACACGCACACACACACAGTAAAAATGTCACAGACACCATGGTGTGGAAAAGGGGGGGGGTCAAAAACAGCCTCATCAGACCCTCAAACATGAACGGCCATGTTGGTGCCACGGAGACAGACGTGGAGACTGTGCGTGTGTGGAAGGGTTTTAAAATGAGACGCTGAAAAGAGGCCTGGAGACGACTGGTGGCCTCACACACACAACATGACAAACACAGCGAGCGCCACAGAAACTTGAAAGACCTCACTGGTTCTATTAAGGTGAGTGTCAGAACAAAGGGACGTGTATAATGACCCAGAGATTGTGCAGCTCTCCTTTTATCTGCACTGGAATAATGGACGTTAAAGCGGTGCAGCCACGGATGGACTCACAACTCTGTGGGCCGTCGTTAAGTGTTGCTATATTTTCATGAAAAAAAAAAAAAAGCCTTTTAACACCACTTGCTAAGGATCAGCTTTCATTATGTTTCCGTGTTGCATTTTTAATTTACCAATTTACTATCTAATTATGTTGCATTTGTAAGAAGTGGGTGACATTAGGAGTTCTTCTCTATCACAACCCTGGGTCTGTCTACTAGTTAGAAACGTAATGAAATTAATTGAATTCTCTGTAATTAACTACACTGCTGTATGATAATTGTGCCGTGGGTTTAGAAGTATTTGGTGTCCCTACAACGTCCAAAAAATATTTGTGTGTGTGTGATCGAGTGATCTTCGTCACTGGGAGGGAGTGTCCTCCTGGTGCCGGTTTGTAACAAGTGCCAAAACAAACGTGATTCAACCCAATGACAGATTTGGCCACAGCACAGGTAAACAACAACCGCTCCTACTGCTGGAAACCAACAAGGTTTGTTAGAAGGCGCTGAGAGAAAAGAAAAAAAGTCAAAGTCAGAGTAGTACTAGAAGTAGTACTGGAGCTGACAGATACGATGACGTGGATCAGTGGTTCTCAAAATATGGTACAGGTCACCGTAGCAGTACTTGGGTTTCCTCTTAGGGTATGAAGGGGGATTTAATAGTTTTTTACAAACCGATTGGAGTACCAGTATTTTTATACCGATACCAATACTGGTATTGGTATTATGTATCCCTAGAAAATAGTTCTATACTTCTATACTGGTCTTAGCTAAACAGGGAAGCCCTTGGCTAATATATTAAAATGTTGGTCACACTTTACTTGCAGAGACAAACACAGTATTTATGCAGTGTAAAAACTTGACCACTAGTGTATTTAATAAGAAAAAGAGAAGGAAGGATCATCTTGGACGAGCAGTTTTTAAAAAATATTTAAAAAAAAAAGTAATAAAGGGCAAAGACACAAATATGGGTTTAAGGCTACATAGTATTGGATGAGCAGTTTTTAAAAAATATTTTTAGTAATAAAGGGCGAAGACACAAATATGGGTTTAAGGCTGCAAGCTAAAGTCGTGTTGTTGAATTGTGTCGTTTGTACACGTGTAAAAGCTACGAGCTGGATGTTACAGTAGAAGCAGTCGTTCTGGAACCAGATCGATATGCAGTGGGAGAAGTTGTCCCACTTGGTGTCCCTGAAGGCGATGAGATGATGAGGTAGTGTGAATAGACAGACGTCTGAACTGGGTGTGAGTTGAAGATAGATCTATAAATATAGATATAGATATAGATATTTGATGTGTTGGACAAAGGTCGCTGGAGAGGCGGCAGGAGAAGGAGAACTCCAGAGAAGATTTATGAATGTAGTGAAGGAGGACATGGAAATGGTTGGTGTAACAGTAGACGAGGCTGGAGATAGAGTGAGATGGAGGAAGATGATCCGCTGTGGTGACCCCTGAAGGGAGCAGCCAAGAAAACATGGAAAAAAAAAAACACACAAAGTCTGTCTGTGATCAGCTGATAGTTGTTTGTACAGAAGAGACACAGCAGAGAAGAAAAAAACAAGTCACATAAGAGCAGCATCTTTGTGTTCAGACGGCCTTTCTTCACATGGATATTTGCTGTTTCTATAATGAGATAAAGTGGAACAAGTTTCTCCATGGAATTCTTTTTAAATGATAATAAATAACTGACATGACTATTATTATGAATAATACAGTAGAGCCTTTATCCACTGCTGCCATCAAGCTGTAAATGATCTGCTAACATTATTGACTAATTTTATTTGAAAATGGTCAATATCCACTTAATGCGTCTCCTGAGGGCAATTTGAGAGACGTGAAACGA